CCATCCAAACTACAGCTCGACCAAAATTGGCCCAGCTAGCTAGCCGAAACACCTGCTCTGACATCCTGCACAAATATATGACGACTGTTACGTTACTCCTATTCCGTGTTTGATAGGAGCAGTGGACATATAATAATCGGATTTGGCTAATCCAATTCGGGATTAGGAGCTCTGACATTGATAAGTGCATTACGACTTCAGCTTCCCCAGATCTAACGAACAACTAGTACCTGAGCAAGCACTGATGCGATATTGATTATGCTCAACCTACCATATATCTTCGCAATGCTAAAGTCACTGTCCCACATAACTGCTCTGTCGAGTATAGCCAAAATAGAGTTTCCAACCTTATGTTAAACTAGAGTGTTAGCTTACATAAAAAGAAGTGCTATAATCAAAGTTCCATGATTGATTTTTATCACTAGCACAATAATTATCATAATTGTTCTCGCTAGTCCTTCCCAATGATTTGAAATGTGGTTTCCCTAAAGATAAACCTGCCCTATTTCACAGACTCATTGACTGAAGAGTCCTTTATAACCACTTGCGAACATCGTGCAGTGGAGTCTTTGAATGGTACGACGTATAACGTATCATCACAGTTGAACCTCAGCCATAATGACTTTGCTATTATGATTGAAAGTTTATGTCTAGGAATCATCAATAGGTCTCTGCGCTCATCTAGCGATCTCTAGAACTTTACTTTCAGGCCGGGGGTGAGATCAGATGGTGTCGCACATACTGGGTTCTTCATTTACGTCCCTCCAGGAAAATTCGTCCAAAATAACGCTTTCTCTTTGCATTAACTGCTCATTGAGAGACCATGGAAAATCAGTCCTATATGCCTTATGATTTAGATGAGGAATAACTTCGCATATATGCAAGAAATAGTTCGCATTTTGTAGCTTTGACCCCAGAAATTGTAATCCTTTTGACTCATCTCAAGATTCTATTTCCACATCCTTATGAGAGATAGACTTTATAAATACACGCCGAGTTCAAATGAATACCAAAGTCAATTCTCCACTGCTATTTCGCAGGTGATTAAGATCTAGAGAATACCCATCACACATTTAATTGAAATAGAGTCGCGTTAGCACTACCAATGAAAGACATTCTCTATAGTCGAGAGAGGTGAGCTGAATTCCCAAGGAAATTTATGGCAGAAACAGTGTTAGTAGGTTCACGGATAGTGAGTGAGATATGAAATTTCCAAGATCTCCCAAATTCGGGAATCTGATGGCATGGTGTGTAGAGACAGTAAAAATCAGCTTCGTTACGTCAACATTGTTGGTTCCTGAATGATTTGCAGAATGTTACAAAAGAGATGAGATAGAATCACTAATTCTGATGGCGAGAATGAGATTATCCAAAGCTATTAGTAAGACACAGTGAAGCCAAAAGATGCATTCTGAGTATAAATGCATATCACCATATCACTTTTGCTATGTATAACCTTTTGTATCACGAGAGTCTCGAGTCTCTTTACTCCTGGTACTCATATTGGACTCCATCTGCATATCTATCTTTGTGCTGCCTTAGTATCATAAATACACACCAAGGTATATATTGACACGAGCACATTAATTGATGGGAATTCTTGTGATAGATTTGTGTTGTTGGCAATTCGTAGTGAGCTCAAAGCGACTGAGTACCGAAGCATAAGCCTCTTCTCAGGGATATGTGCACTCATTATTGCTTCAACTCTTCCATGGCTTGGTTTCCATTTTTCTCCTCACTGCATCATGGCTAAAATTGGAAAAATGAAATATTAGAGGATATCTCTCTATCTCAGACTAATATACAGGCAAAAGCAAAGCTTCCTTGATGGTGAAAGGTGTTATCGTATTATCCTACCAACAATTTCTTACTTGTCTGTGCATTAGGAAGGAGTGCAGATATCACAGATGGCTCGTACTATAACATTCATAAACACATCTCTTGGAGCGAGTTGTCATCACTTTATGATCCGACTCCTGTGAGAGATTAACGTAAGGTAGTCTAAATATTCCCGTAGATTATGGCGTAGAATAACATTATATATTACTCTCACGTGATGGCTATAAATAGGGCATCACCTAACTTGGTCTGAGGTACCATTCGAATCTCTGAGAAGACTCAAGGCATTTTCAGATCTAAAAAGTGTGACATTCGGACGGCACTATCAGAAGAAGATCTTTGGTCTTCGTGTGCGAATGGCTATTGCTACAGCTTATGATAGACGGCGCGTGCTCCGTATCTTCACTATTCATCTCACAGACATGAAATCGCACGCTTCTCTACATCTCTATTGAGAGCTTGTTTCATGCACAACCTCACTCCTATTGACGAAAACCTGGGAATACGCAACAGAACCGAAAATCTTCAAATGTTGCACTCTCGACTTCACTCCATACCATGCTTCATGAGGTGTGCAATCCTTCAAACTCTTTGTTGGTGATCTGTTGATTAAATATGCAGCACAGGAAACAGCTTCTACCCAAAGTTCTTGTTGCAATCTTTTCTTCTTGAGCATGCATCTCACCATCTCCATGATTGTCCGGTTCTTTCTTTCGCTCACGCCATTTTGTTGCAGTGTATATCGGGCTGTCAACTGGTGCTTTATTCCATGATCTTTGCAATATTTTTGAAATTCATTGGAGAGATACTCTCCACCACGATCTGTCCTCAAACTTTTGATTTGAAAGCCTACAAACTTTTCAACTTCGGCCTTGAAATCTTTAAAGGCTTGAAATGCTTCAGATTTTTCTTTGAGGAAGTAGACCCAAACTTTTCTTGAGAAATCATCAATAAATGTAATGAAATATAGATTACCTCCAAAAGATGCTACTGGCAGTGGACCACATAAGTCAGAATGAATAAGCTCCAACGGCTTCTTTGCTCGCCAGGAGGACTCTGGAGGAAATGAACTTCTATGCTGCTTACCAAATTGACAATCTTCACAAACGCCATCCACTGGATCAATTTGAGGCAGCCCATGTACCATTCTTTTGTTTGACAGCAACTTCAAACTTCCATAATTTAAATGGCCATATCTATCATGCCATAACTTAGAGACTTCTTTTTCAGCACTCACAAAGCAAGATAGTTTTGTTGTCTGGAGCTTCAAAGGAAACAAGTTATTTGCAGCAAGTCCAACCTTGGCAACAAATTTATCCTCCTTTTTTAGAACACAAAAATCACCACGGAGGCGAATATCATAAATCTTCCTCAACAGATGGCCCATACTCAATAAATTACTTTTCAAACTAGGAACATAATATACTTCAGAAACCTTCTCAATTGTTCCAGATTTTGATTTGAAAGACACCTCACCAATTCCCTCAATTTTATAGGCTCTATCATCACCAATTCTCACTTGACCACGATCAAACTTATAGAGGGCAGAAAAAAGGTTTTTGTTACCTGTCATATGCTTGCTAGCTCCACTATCTAAATACCACACATCATTCATTTGATCTCCATGACATGCAAGCAATAAAGTTTCTTTATAATCACCATCTCCAGAGTTGGTTTGATGCATATAGCCTGCTCCATATTGTTTTTCATCATCTACCTTTTTGAACCGACATTCTCTGATCTTGTGCCCAGGTTTGTTGCAGTAGTAGCATTCTGGAGTGCCACGTCCTCTTCCTCTTTGAAAAACACGTGCTCTTCCTCGGTACGAATTGAAATTTCTTTGACCTTCATTATTGGAGTTGTTTGATGAGCCTCGTTCATTGCCATAAGAATTAGTGCCTCTGCCATTCAAATATCTTCCTCTACCTCGTCTGCCTCTTCCACCTCTTCCACGTCCGAAGCTTTGATTAGGGCTCGAAGCTTGATTGCCATTGCCTCCCGTAGTTGCAACCTGAGACTTGAGTGCTTGATCCGGTTGAGTAGCAGGAGGATTCCTCAAATTAATTTTGATCTCATGTGCCTCCAATTTTCCTTGTACCTCTTCCATAGAAAAAGTTGAAATATCATTTGACTCTTCGATGGCAGCCACAACATAATCGAATTTCGCCGGTAAGCTACGGAGAATTTTCTCAACAATTCTTGCATCTTCGAGAATCTCCCCATTTGAAGCCATTTGATTAACGACTGAGGTAACTCTGATAAAGTAGTCTTTGATTGTCTCATCTTCTTTCATCTCCAACTTTTCAAACTCTTTCCTTAAAGATTGCAGATGAACCTTCTTTACCTTCTCCTTACCTCTGTAGGCATTCTCGATCATATCCCATGCTTGCTTTGCATTCTCGGCTTTCGCAACTCTTTCATATACTTCCATCTCAATGGTTTGATAGATGTGGAAGAGTGCCTTGCTGTCCTTCTTTCGGTTTTCCCTCAAAGTATTCACCTGTGCTTGAGTTAACGCAGCTTCGTTATCCGTCTCTTCGTAGCCTGCTTCAACAATATTCCATAGCTCCAAAGCCTTCAACAACACCTTCATATTGTTGCTCCAGTAGTCATAATTATCACCACCAAATCGAGGAATTAGTGAAGCCAAGTTGTGACCATTTGCATTTGCATTCGCCATATTGACAAAACTTCAACCTGGCTCTGCTACCAATTTGTAGGAGGAAGAGGGATAGAGAAAAGTAGGAGAGCGGAGAGGTTTTTAAAACTTGAAAAGACTTCTAATTTCTGATTTCTTTTTCTCACTCTAAACTCATTACACTACATGGCATTTATAGCCACTACAATACATCATCATTTATTTAGGTAATTATAAGGTTATTTGAACATTGAAACATCTAGAGAAATCATGATTAACTCTAGAAATTCCAAACATCACAACTCTAGAACTTCTATCCTTTCTTATCCCTGATTTATGACTCTTTCTTGTAACTGAAATTTGGGTTAACCTTCCAACAGTTGTCAGTATCGGTCCACATTTGACAGTTAGAAAAAGTTAAAGATTCAATATAGATCCGTGTACCAACCAATAAACATAGAGATGCCATGAAGAAGAGAAAATTGTGCCGAAATGACATCTCCAATTTCATAAGACCAGAAAATTCAGAATCAAAGAAACCGTCTCATGCTAAGAAAACCATTTGGCTTTCCTTCAGTGAAAGGTGAATTTGCAAATAGAGCTGTTACAATCTGTTCCATTTGTTGAAAAGCTAGATACCATATAAGCAGAAAAATGTACACCGAAAACAAGTTCAGTGTTCGCACAGGCTGCAAAGCAAGACTAGCGCGAAGTTTCTTTATCATGCCCACTTCAGAACTAAAGTCCAGATTAACCTAAAAAAATGAACAAAGAAGTAGTTCTTAGTTTAAAAGATACTGCCTCCTGATCAGCTTAGCTTGTAAAAATCATCTAACCTGTGCAGTGCAAGTCCTGAACATCAAATCAAGTCCAAGAGAGCCAACTTTGGGCATGTAATTCCTAATGATCTCATATCTTTCCTGAGCCAAAATATACTCGATCAGTATGTAACTAATTAAAATACAAAATGGCAGCATGAATTTGAAAAGGAGTCTTTGATATGTAACCAAAGTTCAACAATACCTTAGGCATCATAGGTATGTCTTTAACTTCCCACTTCGGCTGACAACCAATATCCATCAATCCGATTCCCATTTCGTTTAGAACTTCTTTAACCTAGTAAAAAGGAAAATATGGAGAAGTTAACTCCAAAAACAACAAATCAGAAACTCCATTTGTGAACTAAACTTTATCTGAAAGAACATTATACTTACAGTGTGAATCTGCTTGCATAGTTGCATGTGAATGCTAAAGCAAAAACTATATTTTCGCTGACCTGATAAAGATGTGAATTGACTTCAGCACAAATTTGATGCAGAGTTTCAAGAGGTGCACCACTATGCTCAAATTGACCTCCTGGCTCCAGCGTTATGCTTTGCTTACCCTGGCCAACAATGTCATGCATTCTTTAAAAATCACACAAATATGGAAAGGGTGTCTTGATAGGCAAGAAAAAGAAACAAAAAATTATAGCAATTTTACCTGTTTAAGTGCAATAATGTTGTCCCCTTCCATAATTTTTTCCCAATCAAACCTCTCAGCAATCCCATTAAGTAACTTAGCAATGTGTTCGTATGTCATAGGACTTAAAGTTTTCAGATCAAAGCCAAACCTCTCCTGTTCAGTGCCAATTCTGAGGATGGAGCATGATTAAATATAAGAATTAGGGCAATATATCCAAAAGACAAAGCGTAGCTAGAGAGAAAGCTAAGATACAAAATATAACGAGCGGAATTATCTTGAATCTCAAGCCACATGTAAATAATTTTGATCAACATAAACACATAATGCAATATAGTTATTGTTAGAGTATTTGAAATTGTAATGTGTTGATGGAGAAGCTTAGATTCACAAGGATCAAATACGAAACACGTAATGCAATATAATTTCGTTAGATACTGTTTGTATTTAATTTTAAATAAAAATATTCATAATAATTGATGACCGTATGATGTACAATGAACGGATAGGATGTGAGAGAGTCTCTCACTCACAACTTGTAATCCTAGCCATCCATCTAATCTAGCCTATGAGCTTTAGACAAGTGGCAATTCCTTATAACAAACTGAAAAATAACTACTCCTTTCTATTACCTTGCATATAAGCTAAAGTAAATTTATATATAAATCAAATCAACCATTTAATTACCTCCATTTTTCCTTAGGCTTACATCCAGAGGCAAGATGCCCTATAAGATCCTCTTTTGTCAGTGGCTCGGTAGCTATTACAGCAGCTTCTGCGGGAGGACTTGCAGCAACTATCACACTGGGTCGCGGTTTCATCTTCCCCACTCCTGCATTGTATGCATATGAAATCTTCTTCTTCCTAGCAGTGTAGGGCGGTACGGAAGAGAAGTGAATGCAGGATGATGAACCGGTCTGTGAAACGAGTGCCATGCGTGACAAATGATTGTAACGATCTTTGATCTTTGTTGACAAGAATACGGTGACCCTTGAGGAGTGAATATATATATATATGTATGCGCGCGCGCGTCGTGATAATGTACACTATTTCACCAACTTCTCGTAATAATGTAGACTATTCACCAACTTGTCATAAATTTAACAACTCCTGCATTTCTTTATAGCCGTTGCCACTCTTCTGCAGATTAAAAATGTGGAATGAATGAATAAAGTAGAGTTACATTATGCCCTTGCATGATTAACACGTGAGGATTAATAGAATGCAACACGTGAGGATTAATATAATGCAATCTTTATCTTACTTTTCACAACGAGTTTCTCACTCTCTATAGAGTTTATAAAGATATCTTAAAGTATCAGCAATAGTTAAGCATAAACAGAAAGCTACTATAGTCCCGGCCCGAGCAATAGAACATCGTTCGGCTCTTTACATATTAGGAACTGTTAGTGACACAGTACCAAAATATCTTATTCAAGCTACAAAATGAAATTTTTTACGTCCATGTCATAAACTAATTGGTCTATAATTCTAAAAAAACTGCCTCTTTATATGTGAGGAGCCAAATATTTTCAAGGTCGATCACTTGGCTGCAAAAAGTGTATGGCTTCTTGCATCTGTCTTTCTTTTCACGTGATGTCAAAAGAGAATTCGATAAAAAAAAACTCCATAATGAACTCTACTAGAAAAATCAACCGTTCCCTTCTTAACAGATACACACACATAAACTAATCCTAGCTAGGGATCCAATAATTGCAGCTGCAGCTCCTACATTTCACCTACAATTAATAATGGGGATCAATTTGTAATTCAACCTTGGAAAATGCCCACGTTAAACATGCTGGGGATGACACCCGAATATGCCAAATAAAATTTCCAGAAATGCGTTTCTGATTCTAAAAGCTTGTATAAAATCCAATAGGATCCTCTCCAGATCCTTTTGGTGAGAATTTTGAGGATCTGTAAATCATATATGTTCATCGTACATTGTGCAGTTAGTTTTTATGAGGTACTATTGTTTAATTTAAAATAAAAATATTTAAAAGGATTTCTGACCGCATGATGTACGATGAACGGACACGATTCACGGATCCCCAAGATCCTCACAAAGAGGATCCAGCGAGGATCCGCATTCGTATAAAATATTGAAGAAATTTAAGTTGATTGTTGAGAACACAATAGTAATATGATCATTGAGAGAAGACTATTTTTTGCAATGCTCTTATAACTCGAATTTAATCTTACTTTTTTAAAAACTAAATATCACTACTTTGCACCTTGGAATTCAATATTCGCTTCACTTTAGTAAGATTCCGTCAATTTTGTCATAAGGCTGTCAAACCTATTGATGTGAAAGGGTAATTTAATCATTTCATCTTATGTGGCATTTAAAAAACCTTTTTTTTGTACCGACGTGGCACTACGAGAAAAAAAAAGAAAAAAGAGAAGAGAAAGAACTCCACCCCAAATCTACCTCACTGCTGATAAGTACTGTCTATTGTGATACCCTCTCTCCTCACTGGAGTGATTCCAATGGTTTTTTTTATCCCATATTCTTTCTTTCATTCTTTCCTCCTCCTCATCCTCCACCTCCTCCACCTCCTCCACCTCCACTTTTTTTCTTTTTCTTTCTCTTAGTCTTGACCTCACTTAATGTGACCCTCCTCAAACTCCAAGGGCGTGTTTGTTTGGGCTCGTTAATTTATGTTTCACTGCACTAGACCGGCTTACTAGTCCGTGTTTGGTTTGGTCCAGGACTGTCTTTGATGGGATTAAGTCGGACTCATTCAGACTAAAGGCTTCACTACATCGTCTTAGTGAGACCCTCGAAAAGGATGGAATTGCTAATCCCGGCTCTCTAATAGCTGCATTGTTTGCGATCTGCAAGCATGCGTCGCCAAATCCAGTCACCAAATCATGCCGTCTCGCCGATCTCCTTCATCCCGCAAACCCATCATCAAATCTTGCCATCTTGCCGATGTCCTTTGTCCCATGAATCCAACCTCCTCTTTGCTTCAAATTGATTTTGCTCCCTCCTATGAAACCCAACGAACGCACAACCCAGATTTCCCCTTCTTTGCTTCACAGAGGAATACATGGCTGGATCCACCTTGGATTTGATCCAACGCCAAGAACTGAAATAGTAATATCAAAGAACTGAAATTTAAATATCAAAACAAATTCAAAGTTTCATACTTTGAAGAAGAGGGAGTGGGGAGTGTGACAGTGGGACGAAGAAAAAAGGGAGCAAAAGAGGGATAGGGAGGAAGACGATGGACGGAAAAAATGAGAGGTTAAGAGAAAAGAAGAAGATTATAAAAAAAAAATCAATAAATATATTAAGATTAAAATATTAATAGATGATTAAATAATATAATATTATAGTTTATTGATTATCCTGTTTTTTAGTCCGATATTGCACCAAACACTTCACTAAGTTAATCCAGCTTAGTATAGTCTAAACCAGTTCAGCTTAGTCCTTAGTCTGGTGTGCAAAAAAGAAAACCTTCCATAACCAAATTCTTGGTGGAGTTAGCCGAGTTGAAAGATCTAACACTTTTCAATTGATCCTGTTTCCTTAAAATTATTGACACTTTCTTCATATAAAATAGAAACATAAACAATAACAAATTAGTTTGGTATAACATTTAGGATCAGGATCCTCTCCTGAGCAAATGGAGAGGATCCTCCTGACCGGGCCCATCGGGCCGCTCAAAATTTATCCAACGGCTACAAACAGAGGGTTTCACTAAAAGTTATAATAATTATAACCGTTGGACAAAATTTGAAGGGTCCGATAGACCCGGTCAGGAGGATCCTCTCCATTTGCCCAGGAGAGGATCATGATCCTAACATTTAACCCCATGACTGAGTAGTTTAGATTAAAAGGCACAATTATTGAAGCAAAATGTTACCATAGAGCATAAACAAAACAAAGGATTAGGATTACACATGCACCAAGTAAATTTGAAAGGTTTACTCACAAAACATACCACCGGAGTGCCTCACCTCAGTAGCGTAGCTTCTCAAAGACGGGGTCTATATCTTTCCCTTATTTTTCATAATACAACTGTGAACACGGAAAATTCCTGAAATGAAAGAGACAAGAACAACGTGCACGGAAAATTCCTGAAACGAAAGAGACAAGAACAACGTGCACAAAATAATATTTTGTGATTTTGATTTTGGGTTACAATCTCTCTCTAATTTGATCCTCTGATTCGATCTCCGTAAGATATGTATTTGTAGATGTGCGATTGATCCAAAGGGCCGTTGGGTTTGATCTAAGGATGAACGTTCTTCAAGGGCCGTGGGCTTGATCTTGAAGGTGGATTTGAGCGGATCTTCAAGGAGCCGTTGGGGCTTGATCTTGAGGATGAGTGTTTCTTCAAGAGCTGTTGAGGCTTGATCTTGAATAACGGTGATGAACAGATCTTCAAGGGCTTTTGGGCTTGATCTTGAAGAATAGTGATGAACGGATATTCAAGGGCTTTTGGGCTTGATCTTGAAGATGGATGATTGTTGATCCAAGGGTCGTCGGGGCTTGATCTTGGGATGAATAGTTGTGTGGATTTATTGATGTTGTTAATCCAAAGGGCCATTGGGGCTTGATCTTAGGATGAACAGTTGTGTGGATTTGTTGATGTTGTTGATCTTAGGATGAACAGTTGTGTGGATTTGTTGATGTTGTTGATCCAAAGGGCCGTTGGGGCTTGATCTTAGGATGAACAGTTATGTGGATTTGGTGATGTTGTTGATCCAAAAGGGCCGTCGGGGCTTGATCTTAGGATGAACAGTTGTGTGGATTTGTTGATGTTGTTGATCCAAAAGGCAGTTGGGGCTTGATCTTAGGATGAACAGTTATGTGGATTTGGTGATGTTGTTGATCCAAAAGGGCCGTCGGGGCTTGATCTTAGGATGAACAGTTGTGTGGATTTGTTGATGTTATTGATCCAAAGGGCCATTGGGGCTTGATCTTAGGATGAACAATTGTGTGGATTTGTTGATGTTGTTGATCCAAAGGGCCGTTGGGGCTTGATCTTAGGATGAACAGTTATGTGGATTTGGTGATGTTGTTGATCCAAAAGGGCCGTCGAGGCTTGATCTTAGGATGAACAATTGTGTGGATTTGTTGAACACTTTCTTCAAGGGCCGTCGAGACTTGATCTTGAATTGGTGGAAGTTCTTCAAGGGCTGTTGGGGCTTGATCGTGAAGGAGAAATTTCTTCAAGGGCCGTTAGGGCTTGATCTTGAAGGAGGATTTGACGAAGAACGAAGAGGGCTTTCTTGATCCTTCGGGATTTGCTTGAATTTGGGAGGTTGGATGCTTGAAAGCTTTAGAGTTTCAAAGCTTCAAGGATTTTGGATGTGTGGGGAGTATTCTCTTCCATTTTGGGAGTAGAGAAATGTATTTGTGAATTGGTGATTCCTTTGATGGAGGGAGAGCCTATTTATAGGCTTTGGGAACGAATCACCACCATCCATTTGTTTTGGTGGATGTTGTAGTGAAATTTTGGTGGATTTGTTGTGGATGTGTAGGTGAAACTTGGTGGATGTTGTAGGTGAAACTTGGTGGTGTATGATGTAAGTGAAGTGAATGAAGTGAATGAAAATTTTAATACAATGGTCAACATTTATTTCACCAAAATTTCAATGTTTACAAATGTAATCTTAATGCAATGGCTAACATTTATGCCACCGAAATTTCAATGTCTACAAATGCCCCCACTTCAAGGCGCGTTGTATACATGTGCTTGTTACATGTAGGAGATGCGTTTTGAAGTCCCTTAATGTAGTTGTCAATCCAAGGGCCATCGAGGCTTGATCTTGAATTGGGCTGGAGAGATTTCTTCAAGGGCCGTTGAGGCTTGTTCTTGGACTTTGTTTGAAATTTCTTCAAGGGCCGTCGAGGCTTGATCTTGAAGGTTGAAATTGGACCACAAGGAGCTTTATGTGGTAGATGATCTTTGGCTTTGGTAGTGGATGAATCGGCACGTATTTGTTTTTGCGCTTTGTTGACTTTCCACAGCTTTGATCTTGAACTGGGTTGGAGGATTTTTTGGATTCCTCCAATTGTTGATTTTCCACAGCTTATTCTTGA